TGGCTTTCTGTTCAAATCACTGAGGCTAAAGATTTAAATTCTTAATATTCAGATGACTTTCGAGTTTCTGGCCCCATCTGTGCATTAGTCCATGGTGTTAATCTCTGAGGGAATCTCTGCTGGCATAGAAATAAAATAAACAAACTGGGACACTAGTAGAATAATCAGCTTTTAAAATCCTTGGGTTTTTTATATACTGTTTATTTTTTATGAGATTTCTTTAACTCGATTTGCCACATATAGATTTGGCTCCCAGCTATTTCATTTTTCACGTGGCATGTTATCAACAATTATTCTACCAGAGTTCCATGGACTCAGGAGGAGAAAGAGAAATTTTAAATTACAACATTTCTCATGTAAGAAATACTAATATTCCTTTATTTTGGAGGACTGTCTATACTCAGAACTCTTTTACATCACTCCTAAGAAGGGTGGTAGGAGAAAATACAGATCCAGGAGAATGAAGGGGCTGGATAGAGTTTAAAAGAAGTCACTTAGACTTGTGCTATTGACTTGAAAGGGACCAAGATGCATCCAGAGAGTTAGTGAAGTGGAAAGGATAAATGGGAATGGAAAAGGCCAGTCTGACAGGAACAAATTGTTTTGGAGAGATGAGTTAATTTTTGACAATCTTTCTGTTAGAACAAAATAGATACAACCCAGAGCAAAGCACTCAAGTCGCTGCAGAGCATTTCACATTGACCTTTTCAGAACTGAACACTTCAGTTAAGTGAGACATCCACATCCTTCCACGAGGAAGGGTCTGCTGTGGTTATGGCGAAACAAAGCTTCTGCAGAGAAGCTTATTCAACTGACTTCCTTCTCCACCCCACTACTGTTTTGTGATTTAATTCCCTTTCTTCCTTCATATTTAAGCATTTTCATGCCATCTTATTGAGTAATTTTTTTAAAACTCTAAGAGTTTCTCCAGAAAGAGCCCTCCCCAAGGACACTGCTGGCATCCTGCACTGCCAGCAGTACAAGGCCAGGGGCTTGTGCTCACAGAGGGGAATATCCCACTGCAAACCCCAGATCCTTCCTGCTTTAAGGAGCTGCTGTGATGCAGCTGGGAGGTGTGGGCATGGAAAAGGCAGCAGAATCCCTGCAGGGCAGGCAGTGCTGGGCAGCCCAGCCCTGCACCCATCCCGCTGTGTCAGCGCTGCTCCAGGAGAGCTCTGCTGATTAAGGCTGCCAGAGGGAGCAGGGGAATTTCAGCCCCAGCTTGCAGCTGCATTTTTAAAACTTGGCTGTGTGTTCTTCACACAGAGGCAAAGTTCAAAGAGGCAGAACATTATTCAACATGAGTAAAATACGGTCTTTTAAGATACACTTTGAAACAGTGGCGCGTTAAATCAAAACAACGCATGCAGGGGGAGAGGGAGGAAGAAAGATGGTCCTGTGGAAAAGGAAATCCTGCATCACTACTCCTGTTCTGCATTTTTGGAAGGGCCTGCTTTTACACATTTTAAATCGCCCAGCTACTTGACCTGAGGCTAGATAAGCTAGAAATGCATTAAACTGTTCTTCCAGAGAGCATCAGAAAAGCAAAGAGATGTAATTCAGTTTAAGAGCCAGCACATCTGAGGGTGTCCAGGGGCCAGTTCTCACTACAGAGAACTTCACCAAGAGTGAGCTCCTGATTTCAGGAACACTATGCTGTGGCTCAAGACACTATTTCAATTAAGTTATTATAATCTTAGCCAGAAACAACAACCTATTATAATTAATAATACTTGATGATTTCTTTTCTATTCCTGTCAAGGGTTGCTTCAAGGTGACTTGCAGAGAGCAAGCTCCTGGGGAACCCAGGCTGAGTGCTCTGCAGGCTGGGAAGCCCCTTCACTTAAACCCCATCAGACTGTCTAATGAGTCTCTTCACATCACTGCCAATTCTTCCAGCTCTTGGACAATTTTGTGTATCTGTATTCCAGGCTACAGCAAACTTGCTCCTGCGGGAGGCTGAGTGCCCAGCAGTGTCACACCGAGCTGCAGGCTGGAGCACTCCTCCTTCTGCATTTCCTTTCCTTGCTTCACTCCACCCTCTTTTGGCTTGTTCACTGTTGAGTCAGTAGGTCACATCTCACTTGGCCACCCTCCATCCCTGCCAGGCTCGGGGATGAGGCCGCACACTCTGTTCCAGGTCAGCACAGCCCGGCCCCAAGCAGGGACCAGCATCCTGCGGAGGGACAGCCCTGCTGGGCACTCACAGCCCTGCTGGGCACACACAGCCCTGCCTGCTGGGCACACACAGCCCTGCCTCTGCTCCATCCCCGACCCTGGGAGTGCTGGACAGCTCCTCAGGGCCCTTTCCTGCTCACTGACACAGAATCGGCTCTATTGATCCCACTGGAGCCTTACCAGGGCTCTCCCTGCAGCTCAAGGATCACTGTGCCCTGCTCAGCCTCTGCTCAACAGCACATTTGTGATGATCTTGCTCTGCAAAATTTCCATGGGTAGAGCTCAAGCTCCATATAGCCTTTTTTATCTGGGCTTTTTTCTTATTAAATCTGGGCAAAATTCCGACTGACTTCAAACAGCCACTGGCTGCTCATTCTAGCTGCCCTCAGAGCCAGCATTTATTTGGGATACTCTGATATCTCTCATCAGAGGTGTGCAAAATTAAGAACATTGCAGATACTGTCGTAATCAAGTAATCCTGCATTTTTAATCACAGCCATTATAAATGGGCATATGGAAGATGTGAGAAATAACAATTGCACAGGATATCCAGGGAAGCATTTTCAGTCCTCAGGCATAGTTCAGCAGCACTGAGCAGAGGAAAATGAATGCTGAACTCCTGTAACATATAACAAGATTTTTTGGTTTGCTTGAAGCATGGATATTCACACATATGCAGATATATTTTTATAGATGCATATACATCTCTAACTTACTGTTGAATCAGTACTGAACAAATTTTGCTGTTACCTCAAAGAATATGCAGTGTCTTTCATTTCTCAACCGCTGCCAGAAATAATCACAAATTCTGGTAACGTATTTCTTCTCTTGCAAAGGCTGGTGTGGTACCTCCTTAGTTGTTACAATATTCTGAGGCATCTTCAACTAATAAAAAGTTTCTAAATATTTGCAAGATCTTCCCTTAGCTAAATACATTGTCTACACTTGTCTCTGCACAAAAGAGGGACACATAATTTTGAGGAAAAAGAGGAGCTTGCAGATATTCCCTTTAACTCCATGACCTCTCTATCACTTTCTCAAAGGCACAAGATCATGTTTCTTGCCAAGCACACAGAATGAGGGCCTCCAATACCCAAATTCCTAGGAGGCTCAACAAAAGCAAGGAAGAGAAATTCAATACTAATATAAACCTTTAAAAGAATACCGATTAAACAGGAGAGAGAGGGAAAAAACCCCTGACAAATACATCAAAGACAAATGTAATTGCTTTTGAATAAAAACAGATTGCTTTCTACCTTCCTGCCTTAAAGGCAAGCACTCCAGCCTGGGACAGAGAATACCAAAAAACACTGCTAGAAGCAGAGGCACAAGTATTTTGTAGGCAAATTATCCTGTTCTATTTAATAGCTCAAAGGCTTATCTGGATTTCAGACAAGAAGAGGATGCAATTTACTGCTTCTCTGACAGATGAACAGAGCTAGTTAAAACATTTGGGAACACTTTGAATATTGATCTGTCCTCGAATAAGATGTAAGAAATTTGATTTGCTATGGAAATGTTGTATCAATCTTCAAACCTTTATATGCCCCAGAGTGGCCTTCAAATGAAAGCTGGAAAAATTCTCTGGGAAGATGTCATCAGAGCTGTCAGCTCAGGGGCTTCTCACCAAGCAGGACCAGGACTTTGAAGCTGGGACATCACCACCCAAAGGAATCAGAAGGGGAGCTGTACCTATTCTTTGCTCAGCAATAATGTCACGTTCTGTCCCCACCACGTGCCCGTCCCTCTCAGTGCTGGAAGACAATCAATCAGGGCTGTGAATCACCTTGTTAAAAGCAGTGCCCACCGGAGACTTCCCTGTCACACCTCCGGCAGCAGAGCCGCTGTGATAAATGTTTGCTGACACAAACCAAAGTCACGGGGTATTTAACCCCTCAGCTGGCAAACAACCAAGGAGAGAAGCCAGGAAAAAAAAAACTCCCTCTGATTTCAGGCGGCTTCCAATTGTACTGGTGACACAGAACAAAGAGTGGATACAGTAATTTTAGTTAGGCTCAGCAATGAGCTAAACCAATGCTGCTCCCATATTGGGAACTGCAGGGTTACACCACACTTAAATAACAAATCAACAGTGCAGTTGGAAATAGAACATTAAAGACCTTTACAGCTCTGTTTCTTCCAAGCATATAAATGTGCTCATGTAAAAATCATCAGTTTTTCCCATACAGCTTACACCCTCACTGATTTTTCACCCATAAATTTCCTGTAATTCAACTTCAGGTTTTCCCCCATTTTTACCCTCTGTTAGAACAGTCTGTGGAGACAGAGGATGAGCCTGCAATTTCAATGTCAATATTCCCACTTCTGCAGGTTTCCATCAGGTCCCATGTAAAAAAGTGTTTTCTTGAGACAGACCCTTCTTTGGAGTCTGACTGGATGCCAGATATTGAGTTGGCAAATGACTGAATTAAATATCAAGGAGGAGGATATTGAGCATTTGAGACACAGGGTCAGGGAAAGGCCACTGCCAGGCTGGCTTTCAGTGCTCTGTAATTAGAATAACAGCCCTGTACGTGTGCAGTGAGTGTTTGAGAATGGTGCTACAGAGCATTACAAAACTGCTTTTACAAATTCCACAGCCTGGAAGGGACCACCAGGTTCCCTCCATCCCAAGTCTGCACTTTCTCTTCATCCAGAAAAAGATACACAATGGGATTGTTCTCACCTCCATCAGTCTTCCACCAACAGCCAGCAAGAGCAAACCTCTCCCTCATCCCCTGTGATCCCAGCAGAGCCCAAGCACCACACCACATGAATGCCCGAAAATCTGTGAAAATTTGAGATTTTTTTTTCAACTGTACCTGGTTTAGAGCCTTCATCAACAGATCCATTATAGACTTGGTTGATGAACTCCGGCCTGTTGTCATTCATATCAATCACATAGATGTAAAGGTCAATGGGATTCTCCACCTTGTTTCCATTCATGTCCACTGCATGAGCCCGGAGCTGGGAATGAGCACAATGAAAGTACAATATCAGCAACTGCATTTGTTGCAGAATGAGAGACTGTTTTGCAAGGATTGACTTTATGTCGTAAATACTTCCTCAAAATTGAATGGAGCCAGTATCTAATTCCAGCAGAAAGCACTGACATGGTTTCCATCTACACTCGACTCACAGTTTTTCAGAGCTTAATACAATATTGAAATAATATTTTGAAACAGTGATTGTCAGTGGAAACACTTCAACTCTGGTGTAGTGATGCTATCTTATCCCCTTCACAGCTCACAGACCACTCTATTTTAATTTTTAAGACATATTGAACCTCGTCTGACAATCTGAAAAGCAAATTTTGCTTAGTTCCAAATAAAGTGAGGAAATGATTTTTGAGTGAGAAGTTTCTTATGGGAACCTGCAGCATTTCACACCCATAATACTGGGGATTAGTAAGTGAAGAGATTTCAGCATGATCTTAGTGATGTTTATTCTTTGTTTAATCATGGTCTCCTGGAACAGCAACAGCTACCGACCCCATTGCTCTGTGCACCAAAAGACATTTCAAAAGTCCCTTTCCTTCAAATAACGGGAGCCCCCATGGCACTAAGAATGCAATTTCCTCAGGCTTCAATAAAATACCCAGTGCTGAGGCATTTCAATAACCAGAGCCACAGTGTTAAGCCCTCAGTTAAACTGGAACTGCAGCTTTATCTTATTAGCAATAACCATCAGTAATAATGCCCAGAAACAAGAGCATCTGTTTTCTGAACAAAAGAGACAGATACAGCATGTCAAAATGAGTAATTAATAAAACGAAGCAATCACAATAGTCTGGAACAATCAGTAACCAGGTGAAAAAAATGGAGAGGTTTCTCATGAGAGGGAACAGATGGCTACTGTAAATGGTGTGTGGCTGAATGGTGTCGGGAGAGCTCCGACAGTGAGGGAAGGGCTGCACAGCTCCGACCTGGCTGGACCTGGGGAGGCTCTGCAGATTTTGGCCACCATCCCTCTTCATCTCAGCCCCTGTGAGCACTGCTGAACCCCCACCCTGCCACGACAACAGGGGATGGCACTCGGGACGGTGTCACATCCCACAGGGCTGGTGGGCTGGGGAAATGTCAGAACCCAGGACATTCCTCTGACTGCCCTGCAGGACTCGAGACCCTGGTGAGGGGCTCACAGACCTTGGCACAGAGTCAAAAACACCTGTGCCTTTGATTTTCACCCATGGAAAAAATTACTGACTTTGTGTGAAGATTTACACAAGAGTTTGAGTATAATGATAGCTGATTTGTCACAGGGTGAAACAGTAGAATTATTCTTCTTCTTCATCTTCATCATCTTCATCTTCATCTTCATCTTCATCTTCATCTTCATCTTCATCATCTTCATCTTCTTAATCTTGTTCTTCTTCTTCTTCTTCTTCTTGTCCTCCATCTTCTGCTGTGGTGGTGACACTTCTGGATTGGTTTAGAGTAGAGACAGACTGTCTAACATAGGTGATAGGTATTGGAAAATTATTGTAGATAAAGTACATGTAGTTCTTAGTATAAAAAGCTAACACCACCCCAAGGGTGGTCATTGTGCCACAACCTGACCTTCTGGAGAGATCTCAACAGGTCAGAGAAAGAATGTTATAGATAAGGAAAAAGAAACAACTTTGAAAAGCAGAGCCGAGGAATCTCGACTTCTTCTTCAGTGGCAGGGCTTGGAAAAAAAGACTCTAATACCTTGAGAGCCTTTTCAACCACAGAAAACCCAAGAGGGAACCAAGGCTTCAGAGGACATCAGCTTAACAGGGTCACACAATGGGCTGGGCTGGAAAGACCTTTAAGCTCATCTAGTTCCAGCCCTCTGACAAAGGCAGGGAACCTTCCACTGGACCGGGGTGCTCCAAGCTCCATCCCCACCGTGCTTGAACACCTGCAGGGATGGGACAGCCACAGCTCCTCTGTTCGTGCCAGGGCTGGCTGGGAGATGGGGCTGAAGGACAGGGACACCCCAGCTCTGCCCTCCAGCAGGATGGAGGCCTCTGCTCCCTCCCAGCAGTTCCCCACACCACCAGGCTGCTGCTGGGAGTCAGAGCTGACTTTACAGGGAGGTCTCCAGCTCCTCTGATGCATGACAAATAAATGTGCTAATTGCATTAGCCCTGGTTCCTGTCTTTCACTCTTGCTGTGCTGGTGATTGATGCAACTTTCCCCTTCATGTATGGTGCTCAGAAGTCCAGAGCTTAACAAAAGGAGCTGCACACCATTAGGATGGGCTGGATTAACATTTAATCAAGCAAAGAGAACAAACTACCACATGAAATGAGCTGGGGGAAAAACACTTTCTTTTTTTTCAAAGGAAATTAAGCAGCACGTTTTCTTTAAAGCCTGAAGAAGTCCAGTTTTGCTTTCAATACAGGGTGTACCATTTGTGTTTCATGACTTGCAATGCTCTTAATATCTGCATCTCTTTCCTACATAGGAACTGCTTTGGCTCCCACCTGTTGAGCTATCCTTCATCATGTCAGATGTAGCAATTCAATAACTTTACAGTCAGAGGTCAGACTGTCTTTGAAAAAAAGTAATTCAGAGCTAAAATTAAAGTTATTATCTTCAAACTGAGGCAGCACTGGGCTCTCTGTTACAGCATTTCCAGCAGCGGAAATGGTTCCATTCAGAGATAAAGCAGAGAGCAAAGCTGGTATCTCCCCCCTCACATCTGACTCTCCCCCTGCAAATTTTTAATTACATTCGATAGCTTTTGTTTGAAATCTCCAGGAGTAAGGGATTTCTCAGCAATGCACATCTATCTGCTTGTTGCACTCACCGAGCACATGTACCCATCAGCGCATTACTGCCTGCACTCCAGGCAAAAAAAATTCAATAAGCAAGACTGCAGGGATCTCATCAAACCCGTGGTGCCATGCTCAAGTGTCCTGAGCCCAGCACCAGCACTGGGAGAAGCCATGGGAGGCAGGCAGTGCTGAGCACACTGCTGTGGTCACTGCTGTGGCCACTGGTGTCCTGGCTCAGCATCTGCAGTGCCAGGAACACGGCACCCTCTCTCCTGCTCCTTTTTTTGGCCTGGCTTCAGTGAACATTTCTTTCCTTTTGTGCTTTTTTGCATTCCTTTTCTCTGCCTGTTCTCTCTGAACAACTCTCATGTGCCAGTGCCTCCCTATCTCCCACAACATGCGGCTTGCCTTTGGTCAGTGCCAGCTGTGGCAAAGGGAGAAGGGAGTCCTGAGCCACAGGGTTCAATTTCAACTCCATGGGAGCTCTTCCTGCTAAAAACCATTCCTTGTTAGGAGACAGTTCCTCACTAGGGACCATCCTCAGCAGAGAGAGTCAAGGGAGGAGGGACTCCAGAGGGTCAATCAGTGTATGGGAAACTGGCTGGATCTCCAAGGCTGATCTACACTACATTTCCCTTCCTTAATTGATCTTCTCCTGCATTCTTTTGCCCTTCTTTTGGTATTCATGAGGCATCCTCAAGCTGGACAAACACTTTGTTCTGGAGCCATTCCTCAATGGCTGAGATGGGGCTCATTTTTGTGAGCATCACCTGGGCCACAGGACACATGCCAGACCTAGGGCATGCACAAGTACTCAAATGGGAGCTGGTGGGTGCCTGAAGAGACAGTTAAGAAACATTTATAAAGTTAGTTTGAAATATTTACATTTTCCCCAAGAGGAAGAACATGACAGGAGTGAAGAAGGAATAAAATCAAATTAAATACCTTGCAAAGGATTCTGAAAAATTAATACACGTAGCCAACTAATCTCTAGCTGATGCATCATCTGCTGCACCAGCCAAGGAGCTGGCTCGATATTCTTTAACAAATATTGTTTAAAAGTGTGACAATTATTGCTATCATATTCAGCAGCAGCTAGCACAGGTCTCTGAGGTTTTTCTACTGACAGTTTCCAGTGTAAATGTAGCTGTTGGCATACAAATGATTTGGTATCATGATTATTGATTACACTGGAGGCTGGTGGTATCTGAAGGTAGTTAGTCAAAGTCAACACAGTGAATTGTGTTAAATATGAATATTACTTAGGCACTAATACTACTAATACAAATATACATTATCAATCAGTGACAGAGCCTCTAAGCAATAAGCATACAATGTCATGCCTAATTTGTGTGCTCTTAATTGTGATTAAAAGTTCAATTTAGAGCATTGTGACTCAAACGGCTGGCATTATTCAACATGGCTCAAAATACTGGAATTATCCCTTCATTTGTAGTAAAATTGTTTTGTTCCTTTGCATTTAAAACAACTCTCTGTCAGTCTATACCCCACCTGTTCTGCTCCAGCCATTTCTGAGGGAGTATTTCACCAGCCTGAAGCTGACAGTGCATACATGTGTCTGGAACTGGATTAGGACTTCCTTCAAAGTTTCCCTGTAATGCATATTACTTGAGTATCATAAGCAATGATTACTTACTGACATGTTTATGCTGATGTCTTTTGAAAACAGAGCTTGAAAAACGTCTTGGAAAACTAAGCTACCAATTTTCTATCCCTTGTACTTGCCAGGCCTAACTGCAGCTTAATACGAAGCTGGTGTCTGGATCAGAAAAGACATTCAGAGCCACTAATTCTGTCAGCAGCACCAAGGGGACCTGGGGAGCGCAGCTAAATGAGGCCAGGAGAACTCATGCATATTAAATATCACTACCTGCTGCACCTTCCTTGGCATGCAGGGAACATTCCAGGGGCTGACTGCAAGGGGGGATGCAGCACACACACAAACCTGCCCCAGTGAGAGGGCTGAGAAATGTGGGGATGTGCCCCATGGTTGTGTGTCCCATGGATGTGTGTCATATGGATGTGTGTTCTTTGCTGTGTGTCCCTTGCTGTGTGTCCCTTGCTGTGTGTCCTTGTTTTGTGTCCTATGGCTGTGTGTCCCATGGCTGTCTGTCCCTTGCTGTGTGTTCCATGGCTGTGTGTCCCTTGCTGTGTGTCTCTGGCTGTGTGTCCCATGGCTGTGTGTCCCTTGCTGTGTCTCTGGCTGTGTGTCCCATGGCTGTGTGTCCCTTGCTGTGTGTCCTTGTTGTGTGTCCCATGGCTGTGTGTCCTACAGATGTGTGTCCCATGCTGTGTGTCCCATGGCTGTGTGTCCTACAGACATGCGTCCCTTGCTGTCTGTCCCTTGTTGTGTGTCCCATGAATTCCTGTCCATAGATGTGTGTCCCATGACTGTGTGTCCCTTGCTGTGTGTCCTATGGCTGTGTGTCCCTTGCTCTGTGTCCCACAGATGCATATCCCATGGCTGTGTCCCTTGCTATGTGTCCCTTGACTGTGTCCCACAGCTGTCTGTCCCCTGTGTGTCCCATGAATTCCTGTCCCATAGATGTGTGTCCCATGGCTGTGTGTCCCTTGTTGTGTGTCCTATGGCTGTCTGTCCCTTGCTGTGTGTTCCATGGCTGTGTCCCATAGATGTGTGTCCTTGCTGTGTGTCCCACAGATGCATATCCCATGGCTGTGTGTCCCTTGACTGTGTCCCACAGCTGTCTGTCCCTTGTTGTGCGTCCCATGAATTCCTGTCCCACAGATGTGTGTCCCATGGCTGTGTGTCCCTTGCTGTGTGTCCTATGGCTGTCTGTCCCTTGCTGTGTGTTCCATGGCTGTGTCCCACAGCTGTCTGTCCCTTGGCTGTGTGTCCCATGGCACTAATGACGCCAGGGTGGCTCCCAGGGCATCACCCAATGCCACCTGTGCACATTGTGGGGTTGGTTTAGTGGCTGCAGAGCCCTTTTTACTTTTCTCTGCTCGTATTTTCTCTGTGTCTGGGATGCCTGTGAGGTCCCTGGGGAGTTTGTGCTCTGGTTTGGAGTGCAGGCACAAACAGATGAGGCCAAAATACAGCTGAACTTGCTATCACCAGCACAGAGCACCTGGGCAGGGGCTCTGAGTCCCAGATGCACATACATCTCTGCATACCTCAACTCGGAATGATCCTCCCTAAAAGTTCAAGAATGATCACAAAAACAGGGGAAGTTCTGCTGCAGAACTCCTGATCTAATTAGAAAAAAATCTGTTTCACCTTAGGGAATGAGGCAGGTTTCATCAGACAAATGGCTTGCTGAATGCAGGGAGTGTTAAAACACTAGTATTTTAAAAATGGTAGTCCTGGAGCAATACAGATAATTATGCATAAGAAAATATGTGTTGAAAATGTGGGAGTTAATGAAACAGAACTCTTGATATGTAGCCTTACAAAGACTTGCAAATTATTGTTCTTTCTTTTATAATTAGTTTTTAGATTACCTGGGAACAAAAGCAGCAAGGACAACACTCGAGAGTGACAGAGATGCTGAAAAGATTTGGGTTTTTTTGGGTCTGCAGAAAACCTGGAGCTGTGTAAATGCAGCCACCTTCAGCTGGAACACAAGGCTGCACAGAACAGACACAGAACCCCATGTCCTGCTGGGTCAGAGGGACCAGTGCTGCCTTGCAGCTCCACTGACATTCTCACTCAAGAGCAGAGCTACTAATTCAAGCTAAAGGAAACCACAGCAGATCTTAAACAAGTTTAAAGGTGGCCAAACACTCCAGTTCACATCAAAGCTGACACCTCAGTCACTGCTCTTCCAGCACTCAGTTCAAACCTGGCTCCATGTTGCCTTTCCTATCAGTTAGAGACTGGGCTCTATGAAGCGGCATAAATTCATTGACTTCTTCAACTCTCCACTAGCCAAAACTTTGGACTTTATTTTCTTTCTGGAAATGGGCCAAATTTATTCTCATTTTCAGCACTGTAAGTTTCCTCTCCAGTGTTTGGGTCATTGCTTTGCATGGTGTATTTCTAAAGGCTTTGCAAAGGGTTAGTAAATGAAAAACTGATTTCTGATGGTTCAAGAAATCATCAATCCATTGCTACTGAGGCTGAAGGATCTAAAGGTCATTTACAGACACAGCTTAAAATATTCTTCATCACCTTCTACTATTCTCCTAACAAAGATTTTTCTATCATTCAGTATTCCTGTCTATAAGGTCTCATAACATACTTATTCTCTCTATAAAATACATCTTCCTGTAACCTTCAGAGTATGAATATGCTTATTTACATATGGATGCCACTAGTTCAAGGTTTCTGCGAGGAACAGCAAAGGCTGGAAATCCTGTGTTATGTACAAGGCAGATTCATCCCATCACCTTTGACAAGGCAAGAATTCAATTTGCTGAATTCACTGTGACTGGTAGGTTCAGTTCATCTTTAAGGGGCACAGGGTTTTTTAGGATGGAGGACAAAATTTGTTTCATCTCATGTTTTTGACTGCGAGTGTCTGATCGCAGACATCACAGCGGCTCCATCAAAAGTCTTAACTTTTTTATTATTGACTAGACTGTTATAATAACCTGGCACTGCTGAAACAATATCAACAGCGCTGAGACGACACACACTTTATCTCAAATATTTCTTCTCCAAAACAACCTCTCTTCATATTTTCCTAGGCACAACAAACAAAATAATTGTTCTTGTTCACAGAGTATAAAATAATTTTTCTTCAGATCTCCTTTTACCCAGGGGAAATCTCTTTTTCCACCCAACTAAAGAGGTAATCTATTTTCTTTATCTTTCCACCCCAGCCCAGAAGCTGTGTCAACATGGTTAACTGGATACCTGATAAAGCTGACAGAATGTGCATCTCCGACGGCGCCGTTCGGGACGCGGTGTCACTGCCAGTGACCCGTGCGCTCTGCTGGCATTACAGCCTCCCTGGGAAGGGCCATTACCATGCCAGGAGATGGGCTAGGGCTGATAGCAGCCCATGAAACAGCCTTTCACAACCACTCCAGCTGATGCAGAAAATGCTTGAAATTTTTGCAGGGCTATCATGCAAGGGGCAATCTATTCTTTTAGCAATTTGTGGGACTGGATCTGCTGTGCAATTACACTGTGCAATATAAGAGCTGGGATTTGTATCAAAACACAGCAGTCAATTACACTGTGAGCATTCTGCAGGTAGAGAGCATTTGATGAACTAGGATAGCACGAGGCACCATCACTTTTGAGTGTAATTAATCTTAATTAATTCCCTGATATTTAATATTAGCCTATCTGCGTATTTAAAAACCTATCTGACACACCCCCATCATACTGCCTGAACATCTCCTGGTGAATTAAAGTGAAAAATGACTATAGCAATTATTGCATGTTTAGATGCAGTAATGATTCTTAAATGAGTAATTTCCCAAGACATGCTAATGTAGTGACTGGCTTCTCATGGTTTTGGGTGGTTCAGTCTACACATAAATTTGCATGGATTTAACAAGCAGTGTGAAGTTGCACCATTTTAAACAAATGACTCTGTGTCTGAAAAAGACATCAGTTTATCTCCACTTTCATATAATCACAGAATTGTTTAGGTTGGAAAAGCCCTCTCAGATCAAGTCCAACTGTTCCCCCAGCACTGCCAAGCCCATCACTCAACCATATCCTCAAGTGCCACATTTACATGGCTTTTGAATCTCTCCAGGGATGGTAACTTCACTACTGCCTTGGGCAGCCTGTGCCAGGGCTGGACAGGCCTTTTGGTGAAGAAATTTTTCCTGATATCCAATCTAAATTTCTCCTGGCACAACTTGAGGCATTTCCTCTTGATCTGTCACTTCTTATTTGGGAGAAGAGACCAACCCACATGGCTATAGCCTCCTTCCAGGGAGTCACAGAGTGATGAGGTCTCCCCTGAGCCTCCTTTTCTCCAGGCTGAGCCCCCTCCAGCTCCTTCAGCTGCTCCCCATCAAACTCACTCTCTCTACCCTTCCCCAGCTCCACCACCCTTCCCTGGACATGCTCAATGTGGTGAGGGGCCCAGAACTGAGCTCAGGTTTGAGGAGTGGCCTCAGCAGCGCCCAGCACGGGGGGACAATCACTGCCCTGGTCCTGCTGCCTCACTACTGCTGATACAGCCCAGGTGCCACCTGGGCACACCTGGCTCACGTTCAGCTGCCACCACCCAGCACTTTGCACCGGTTGGGCTGATCCAGCACGCCCCTTCTTGAACCCAGCAATTGTGGGCTCAGCTGGCAGTCAGGATGTTGGATGCTCACGTGGTAGGAAGCTCTCTCCTCCCTGTCCATGGGCCGGGTCACGTACATCCTGCCGGACACGGGGTCGATGTTGAAGACCTCCATGGGCGGCTGGTCGGCTCCCACTCCAGTGATGCTGTACCTGATGTGGATCTCCTTGTCCTTATCCGAGCGGATCTGGAGGAAATAACAGAGACAGGAACCCATCAGTTCTGGACAAAAGCCACATGGGTGTTTAAGCAACTTTAAAAGATCTGAGCCCGAAGGCTGCAGAGATGTAATACCACTGTCGGTCCTGACAAGGGAGCTGAACGCCAAAGATTTGGTGAAAAGCCATGAAAAGTACATTCCACAAAGTTTCAGCTGTTTTGCTCCTTTTTAATTAATGAGAAATCACTGAAATTGTGACTTTTCAACTGAGATGTGGAAGAGCCTAAAATGCACAAAACCCACTGTTTACATATTACTGAAATTCTGATCTCCTGAAAGTATCCAAATTTTTCAGCCATACCCAGAGTCTCCCAGCCATTAATCATTTCTGAAAATGCTGTCTGCAAGCTCCTCCATTGTATTCTCAGTCCTGGTAACTGTGCACACAAATACTCCAGTGAAATTCAAAGAACAGGGCTGTTTGCTCCTCTTTGTCCAACCCTGCTGGCTTGACAAGGCCAGCCTGGGAATGCCCAGTGGGATGTTACCATTTTATGTGATTATTTGTTGAGGAAAAATATGTTTTGGACACTGTTTCTGAAAGCCCTTCCCTCCTGCACCTTGAGAACAACACTGCAAGCCGAGTACAGCACAGTGAGTTCCATGAACCTTGGAGACAGAGCTGAGGAAAAAAAGAAGGGAGGTTAATATGTTGTCCTAGCAACCCTGACTATCTCTTTAAACACAAATTTAATTTTCTGATCAAATGCTGAAAGAAGTTCTTGCAACAGCATGACTATTCCCGAAAGAAAGTGCAAGGTACAAATAAATTACCACCCCCTGCACCATCACAAAGTGTCTTGGCACTGCAAGAAGCGATGTGCATAAATTTTTCCCTAACAGGTCTGTGAATACAACGAGGCAGTGGGAAGATAATAGATAGAGCCCTGGTAGCTGAATGCAAGTTGGCATCTCTGCTACAGCAGCTGCACCCTTGGAGGGGCCTGAGTGAACTTAGAGGGAGCCTGTGCCCCCCAAACTGCCTGGATTTGGGGAGAGAAGGTCATTTTCCAAGGGAAGAGGAGGCTTTGCTTGTCAGGCAAAGGAACTGAGATGGGGCTGTGGGCTGCTGCACACTCCTCCCATATGTGACCTTCTGCTATTCCTTCCTCTCCTGACACAGGAGGCTGACAAGACGCTGAACGTGTCGGTACAGGGCAACATCAGATCCCTGGCTCCCAGAATCTCCTTTGATACCTTTGTCCAGATCATTACCAAGTTTGTACACTGTTTTCTTTGTACTTCCCCCACCAAGCTGCCTGCTCCTGCTAATGGCTAATCATGTCAGTTATTACAGGCACCAGGATTGATCTGTGTGGCACCTGCGCCGCTGGAGCTGCAGGTCAGGGAACAGACACAGCTCCATTTGTCTTCTCTCCAAAGGATTCTCTGCTTGTTACACTGTTAGCACTGAGAAAACTGACTGGACTTACACTAGTGTAGTCATTTAAAAGAGGGCCTGGGGACACTGAAAGTGCCCTCATGCTGCACAGGAGGATTTGTCCAGATTTATGCGGGGCTAGTGGATATTTGGAAGAAAGACCCAAGTAGAGAAGCCATGAATTCAACCTTCATTAGCAAATCTGTGGGTGAGGAAGGGTGCACTAAAATCAAGCGCTGCTTGCACGACTGTGCTTTCAGTGACAGCACTGCCACCAGTTTGAGAGCTGAAGATCACAGTTCCCATTTTCAGAAGGTCAGCCCTGCCCTGCCAGAGGGAAGGGCTGGAAATCGAGCTGGTGGCAATGTCTGTGCAGGTGCACAGCTCACACCAGGGAGTTCAAGCTCCAGCCCACCACATCCACAGCTGGAGCCAGGCTTAAGGAAAAGTGAAAACAGGAAGACACTGCTGGACCTCCAGCTCTGAGCCAGGGTGGGGTTCCCACCTTATAAATTAAAAAGGGTAATGTGGGACATGCAGTTGTGCGTCTGCACAACTCCAAACAACATATGATGTAAATTTACCCCTAAAAAAAGGTGGAAAACCCCCTAAACAACCCAACAAAGGTATTTTGCACTTCTACCCAGCCCCAGCCTGGCTCAGCTATGGCTGTGCTTGAGCACAAACACCAAAGAGCTAAGCAGACACTCCAGGGAACCAAAATGGGGGCAGTTTTAACCCAAATCACAGGAGGGAAGAGCCTGTTAGTGGACATTTTTCTGCTCTATTTCCTGTTGCATATAGTACCCAGATCCCATTGTGATAGAAGCATTAGAAATGCATAGAGAGAGACAGAAACAGGGAAAAGGAGCCTGGATTTAAATATTCAGTGCTAAAGGCACTATATTTTATTTTTGGGAAACGCAGATAAACAGAAGCTCTCGAAGAAAGCTATGTACAGTTTAATAAAGTGCACGCTATAGGATGTCCTTGCAGCACTTTTATTAGCATTAATAGGGTCTAAGCTGTCTGTATGTAAATCATTGCAGATCTAGGAGATGAAATATATCATAAGACCTACAGCCAATTATACTGAGAGAAAACCATGAGCTAATTATATTGCATTGAGCAAAACACAGATGGGGGAAATATACTGCAAATATTCAGCAAAGACTCCTTATTTGCTGTTAATTGCAATCATAGCACAAGGGTTTGCCTCCTACCTATACTTAAATCCATTTCCAGTAAATATACAAGGGTGTGAAGTGTTCAGGGAAAAAAAATAATGTAAGAAGTAGCACTTGTCACAGAAAGTTGCAAAGACCACTGACAATGAAGCATAGTACATTTTACTACCATGGAGATGTTTATCACACACATACCTTTTATATTGGAGCATATAATTTTATCCTCTTAATGAGATTAAAAAATAATAAAAAAAAGATTTTTTCAGTAATCCTGTAACATTTTGACCAAAGGTTTCATTTGCCTAATTCCCAGGGTGCAATTTATTAAATCTTGTTGAGAAGTTAAGAACATTATCTGAACACAATGCAAGGTTTACTTCTTTTGTTGAAACGGTTCCTGGAGCAGTTTACAATAATAATAATAATAAAAATAATAATAAAGCCCTCTCTATTGCCAAGGAGATCACTAAATCAGGAATAAAAATTACAGGTTAGGGGGATTTACTGGTTCAGAAGGGAGTTACTTTTTCCTTCATTCAGCCTGGGAATTGTGAAGATGGTAACAGATCCATATGATAATCTTCTGACTGGAGAACATACACATGAATTTTCCTTTCATTTATCTCTCCTTTTATAATGCAGTCAAGAGGTATGCAGGGCTCTGGGTTACAGAACAGATGGCAGAGGGATGGTTTTCCTTAGCTGCATTTATACATTTTTTACTCGGAGAACCCTTGGAGCTTTGAGCTTCTCCAGTGCCTGGCATGATACAACTCTGCATATGATGATGTGAGCAGGATGAATGATGATGGCTGATGACTGTCATAAAAGGAATTTGCTTGCAAAGCAGCTTTTATGCTCTAAAAAGCCCCTCCGGGATGGAGCTTGGAGTGGATTGATTCACTGGTGAGGGAAAATGTCCCAGATCAAAAGGCAATTTATGTTGGAAGATGCAATCCCTTGTTCCCATCCTACCTCATGAACACAGGGAGCATTTTCCACGCAGGAGCCCTCAATAACTGTGACAGATACAAATGGACCGTCTGGAAATGTGGGAGCAGCCACCAGAGCCCCAGGGGGAGCAGCAGCAGAGCCAGGGCCCTCTCTGGAGCTGCCATCCAGCAAGGACAGGGCGGCCCTGCGGCCCAGCAGGGCCTGCCTGCAGCCCACACCACCGAGGAACCAGAACCAGAGCACCCAGACTCTGCCTCAGCCCTTCTTCCTACAAAGCGATCCAGAAACAGAAGAATTGGCGCAATTTCACAACGTGGGGATTTTCTACTGCAGGCTCTGATCTAATAGCTAAAATGTTTGAAAATGAACACTGCAACTCTTGAGACAACACAGGGTTAAGCCCTTCCAAGCTGGCCTCTCCTCAATGTCACATTTAGATGGAAAAGCAGTGTTTGTGGCACAGGATTGCATCCTGCTTTTGCAGATAACATCTTAGGGATCGTGCATCTCCATCAGGATTTACTGGGTAGCAAAACCATTCCCACAAACTTCACTGGTGAACAGAATTCCAAGAGGCGAGCTCCTCTAAGGTATCAGATTTTATCACTGTTTTCCTTCTGTTGATCCACACCCTCGTGCTCCCAGCACTGCCCTTTCTTGCTGCTGGATTCCCAAGCCCTCCTCCCTTGCCCTGGCAGTGACAGAAGCCACCAGAGATCCACCAGAGATCTCTGCAATGCTCCCAGGCCTGGAGCAGGGCTGGGACATGCAAAGCTGCGTGGTCAGCAGATTGTAGGGCACCATTGAGACCATAAATTATACAGCTTTTGGAGCACGACATTGCCAGGAAAAAAAGTGTTCCAATGGAGACTGTTTAGAGAGCAGTAAAGAAAATACCTGGAGGGCCAGGAAATGGGGTGTGTAAGGAAAAGCTGAATGAACAAGGACAACTGAGGGTGCAGAAGAGGTGACTGTAACAACAGTACTGCTGTACCTACATTAATAATAAACTACATTTAGAGAATTTCATAAGGTATCTGTGGTCTGGGTTCTGCCCATCCCTACACTGTGCCTGGAAATGTATCTGGGAAAGCAAAGCAGGACATTTCTCCTCTGTTACATTTCCGTTCTGCAGAACGAACCAGAAAATAAATTTCCTTAGGAGTTCTTTGTCTTGCTCTACAACATATGGAGTCAAAAATGCCTTCAAAAAACACTAAGTTTACCATACAGAATAGTATGCAACATTTGCACTAACATGACCTGAGGATACTTAGACTTGATTTTTTTGTTTTATAAAACCCATTATAATTATTAATGAACACATAAAATAATGTAAATGATAAGCAGTAAGTGTCTTTTATTATTAAGCTCTTAGCTATTTTGCCCATTAAGAAAACCAAATTAAAATAATTGAAGATTATAATCTGTCATGCATTCAAAAT